GGAGAAACGGGAACACTGTGGGCTGTTCGCTTCTGACTGCATGGCCCAGGGGTCTTTTTTTATATTACAGAGAGTCGCCCCCAAAACAAAACAAACTGCTTCACACAGAGGAATGTGTTTTACTAGACACAGCTGCAGAACATGTGTTAGCAATTGATATTTTCTGCACATTTCAGCCGATGAATTTTACACTTGACCAAGCGCTCGATTGCCAGAGGCCCCCGGTGGAGAGGGGTAAAAGACAAGCGCGGAGGCAATAGCTCTGTGCCACGGAGAGCCCTCCCGGCGGGGATGCTGGCTGACTCTAACCCAGCAAGCCCTGCACTCATTCTTGCTGTGAGGAGGGGAAATGGCAGAAGGAAGGCATGGGCAGGGGCTGATCCAGGAGGGCTGCAATGATACAGTTGCACCCCCTTTCATTCCTGCTTCACCCAGACTTTCAGACCAAGTGCTGGGGAAGGGCAGCAGCATTTCTATTCAGGCAGTGCTGAGAAAGTCAATTGAGGTCATGGCTCATTGTCATCTCCCTGATTCAGGCTAATCGCTCTCTACCCAGAGGAGTTAAAGACTCCCTGTCTTGTCCCACTACTCAAATGATCCTTTTTTCTGCAATTTTGCTGTCTGGTAGCCCTTCCTAGTAGCGTCTTCTCTTTCACAGCCCTCCAGACAGTTTTTAGCTCTAGCTAAAAAAACTTAAGTCAAATGTAGTCATATGAATTGAGGCGTAGAAATGACTGACAGTGAAGTATTGGAGGTACTAGATTTTGTTGTATAAGTCTGAAAGAGACATAGGCCGACACGGTTATTTGGGTAAACCCAATATCTTTTATTAGACCACCTCAAATAGTTGGAAAAATTGAGATATACATTTAACTATGATGACTACAGGCCTAATGATGCAATATCCTTTGCCTATTTTGTTATGGGGTTTGTTTTTTATTAACTTCATGCAAAATCTAACATCTTAGCACGCAGTCCAATCGTTGTATTTGTTTTTGCTGTGATCTGAAAACTGAATAGTAGAGTGCTGCCTTGCTAGCGTATTTGTAAACCATCGCGTTTCTCTTCAAGTGGAGAAAAAGACGGGTTGGTGCCTATGCAAGGATGCGCGCCCCATTTTTAAAAATCCTACATCTGCCCATGGGCTCGGAGGGGGGAGATACGGGCCTGGGCATAAGAACATGGCACAAAGGTTGCCCTTGACTGTGTTGGACGTCAGTCCACGCTGCTCAGTCTCCTGTGTCACCAAGCGGGGAGGCTGCAGGGTCCCAGTAAAGCAGGAGGCAGCCACCCTTGCAGGGGTGCTGTGGGTGGACCCGGACGTTTGAAAGACGACCTCTAGTCATCATCCTTGGAGCAGCTGGGGTGGCTCTTTACTTATTTATTTGGCCAAATTAGGCAAAACTCATTCCAAATCCAGAACCTACTAGGGGCAAACACCCTCCACCCGCGCCGGGGGCTTCCTGACGTTTCCAAAAGCCGTTGGCGGGCGTCCTACGCGCAGGCCCAAGCCCGGAGTTCGGATGCCCCTGAGTTTTGCCGCCCTCAGACTCCCATTTCCATCAGCTGGTGGGTCCTGAACCCGAAGAGCCCATCTCCTGCCCAGCGGTTCAGGAATAAACCTGCCTTCTTGCCCAGGCTGGATCAGAGGCTGTGGGCAAGAAATGCAGGCGCTGCCTCCTGGGCGAGGAGGCGCTGGTGGATGAGGGGCTGGGGTGGGCTCCTCCGGAGGAGCCGCCCGCCGCTCTTGCAGGGCTGGGGGTGCAGATCCCACCCTCGCAAGCTCTCCGGGAAGGCGCGCGGGGGGCGGGGCGGGGCGGGGCCGCTTAAGAGCGGCGGCGGGAGCGGGGCGGCGGCAGCCCCGGGACCGGCAT